TGTGAATGAGTTAGTTTTACGTGGGTAAATAAAGATTTCTATTCTTACTCCGAAAATAAATTTTAATATTCTAGCTTTCGATTAAGATTCAGTTATCATCAGGAATCTGATGAATTTCCTGATGGTGACTAAATCTTAGTCGAAAGCTAGAATATTAAAATGTTTATTTTCGGAGTTACCGTTGTTTTACATTCGTAATACCACACCTGTTCCATACATTCATATTATTACGCCTTCCTTGCATTGAAGACACTCAAATTTCAAGAAAGAAAAACACCGCTAAAAGGCCCTAAAATTGTCAATTGAATATTAGAATTGTCAATATAAGAAATAGAAGATTACCTTATATAAGAACAAAATATCGATAACTATGCAGTCTATGTGTGACGTTTCTAGGTCTCCAGAGAAACGTCTGATATGACGTTTCTCATGGACAAAATCGATGATGCCAATGATATTAAAATAAATGACCAGTCGATCGAACAAGTGAAATGTACAAAATTCTTGGGTGTTCTAATCGATTCAACACTCACATGGAATAATCACATTGGTTCAGTTTTAAAAAAATATTTAAATCAACCGGAATTATTTCTAAAATTCGGCATTATACGAATCAAAATACATTAAAATTGCTTTACTATGCCCTTGTCTATCCTTATCTCACTTACACGCTAATTTAACTTGGGGTAACACGTACCCTTCAAAATTGCAAAAATTGATGAGTGTCCAAAAGAAGATTGTGCGTCTAATCACTTTCAAACCGTATTCTGAGCACACGGAACCATTATTCAAAAAATTAAATCTATTAAACATTTACAAAATAAATGATTATTTGACCAGTTTATTTATGTTTCAATTTTACAACATGAACAATATGCCCGAAATTTTCAACAATTTTTTCAAAACTAATAATGAAATTCATAATCACAATACTAGAAGTTCCAAAAAACTACATAAAACCTACACCCGAACTAATTATATGAAACATACTCTCTCCAATAAAGGAGTAGATATTTGGAGTAATTTGAACGAAGATTTAAAATCCATCCAATTTTACCAATCGTTCAAAAAACAAGCTAAAATTTATTATCAAACACAAGAATAATAATACAGCATTATATTATATTATTCATGGACGTCTAAAACAATGTAGGGTAAAAACAATGCTTCCATTATCATGCACTCCTAACTTCGTATTTGTTGTATATCTATATTATTGTGAAACTATATCACAACTTTCTTTAAAATTTTATGTACTATATATTAACTAACAAATAGCTATCGTTTGAATTTAATATTTGCTGTAATAGGCCGCCTTGCACTAAAAGCTTCTTAAAGTTTCTTAAAGGCTCCTAGCTCTAGTATTCAACAGACGTTATACTGTATATTCTATCTTAATTATGTAAATATGGCGAATTTTTAAATAAATAAAATAAATAATACAATATATGATGTATTGGTATTAAATTCCACTCGAAATCTACAAATCCTTTCAAAGCTTCAACAATTCTTGACTTGCAGTCAATCCCTTGTCGGGCCTTGAGAATTAGAAGGCAATGGCGCGGCGGTCATGTTGGTGCCAAATTCAAAAGAAATTTTGTTGAAAAGGGACCAACATGACCGTCGCCCACTTCATTGCAAGTCAAGAATTAGTTATATCGAGTGAGATGCCAAAATCCTATTTTGTTTATAATCTAGAGCTTGGAATTTCTGAACAATGCGTGACTGTCTTCAACTCATCCTCATTTGATCTGGACTTTACACAGTTTAGATTACTTATATTTGAGAAGTGTGACTATAAAAACTTGGTTGTAAAGTGTTTTGTATGTAAAGTTTACTGTCGTTCCAATTGAAGTGACGATGTGAAAATATGATAACAATGAAACAAATATTTCAACCTCTGTATTTCAACTATGTTGGGACAATGAGGACATGACAAACCGCCTCGAAGACTCGGAAAGTTTGTTTTGAAACAGGAAATGACATCATATTGACGTCATGAATAATTACGTAGAAGAAAACGATATCACATGTCAAATGCTACAATAATTGATGTCTTTTGATGCGAAGCGGGGAGAAAACATTTGGATTTACTGCTTGTTGTCGGGCGATTTTCTCGTGAAACGTCGGATTATAGAAGTGTATATATACGCCTATAGGTTTAAATACCAAGTTCTCACGTTGGCTGGGTTCTAATCGCATAGACCTTTTCAGGTTTGTATTAATATTGTATTATTGTATGTAAGTCAAATATAAAAGCTCTGATGCGTTTAGATTCTTCTGTGTATATGTATTTTAAAAACACGAGGTATCGCATACAGTTTAGAAGGAGAAGTATAAAGGAAGAAATGTTAGGAATCTTGATAGAAGCTGTCTTTTCTTTTTCTATGAGCCCATTGTAATACGCGCGGAGTGTTGTACTGTTGTATGAGTGTTGTTACGGATTTCTACCGTCCACGAGTATTAGACCTGACTTGTATCTGAAACACAATTATAAACCTTTCTTTGTCGATTAATTTTGAGAATGAAAACGAATTTCCCGTGTTCATATGTACAAAAACAAAACGTTCATGAAGGCTTCACGAAGACTGTTTTACGTCTATGCATATTATAAATAGCGCGACCATCTCGGGGGCATTTATGCGGCCGTGTTAGAAATGTTTACACGAGCGTGTTTCTTTCCAAGGTATAAAGCTTTGATTGCCATCAAATTGAAAACTTTTGGTTAAAGCCACATGTGCAAAGTTGTGAAAGATATTTAGTATATCGCAAGTTCACATGCAACGCGTACGCGGTCGATTTGTGTATTGATTCCAGAATTCATTAAACTTGTAGATTTCGATCTGCGCTTTGCATCTATTTCATCCTTAATACGCGCCATGTGTGATTATGGATACACCAAGCTTTTATTCTTTTCGAGCCATGAAATACGTGCCCTGGCTTTGAATGGAGAATGGAATTATACGCGCGGGTTTGAATTATTTTTGTCTTGCGTAGAAATTCAAAGCTAGTATATATAGAATTCAAATTGCGACTATTTTAGTTCGGAGTTCTGTTAAGAATATATTTGATGTCTACGCTATTCATTCGGCTTTTGGCTTTATATTAAACGCGAAAACTGCTGGTGTTCTAACCGCTCTAACCGCCCCTGGGGTATTCATGGCATATAATGGTGTTTTTCTTTGCGGGAATGATCAAAGATGCTCGCTGTCTTTATATCCCGCTTGCCACTAGTTATAGAACAGCTTGGAGTTATTATTTTCAAGACAATACCTCCGAAGATCTTTTGCTCATTCTAGTTCGAATTATAAAGGATTCATTTGCAGCTTTTGTCCTCGTCGTTGTTGTCGAGTGCCAAGCCGTACCGCTTCAACGAAGCTTGCCAAAACGCGAAAATTTCTTGGGTCATGTATTCGTATTAGAACTTGTGGAGTCACGAAATTGTGTTTTGTTCCTGCCAAAAGTTCCCAGTTAAAGATTATCTTTCATTTGATACGCTGTCATAGTTTGCGAAAGAAGATTTTTGAGGGGAAATAAGAGAACAAAGATATTTTATATTGATATAATAATGTCGCTTTTGGTTTATTAAAAAAGCAATCATTTTAAATGTTTCATATTTGACATAATTCAATTGAAACTAGTCTTTTTTAAACCACCAATCATATTGAGAAGTACCCTTCTTGTCATGAGTTTCGAACATCTTGTACACACCTTTTCGTGATTAAGAATATCCATGTAAGTATGACACCAGGATCTGACACATGTGGATCATGTTACCCACTCAGGTTTTTTGTTCACTGATTTATTTGAGTGATTGAAATGATTAAATGGTGAATTTCAATGCACCTGAGTTTAAAATTTTAGCCCGAACCTGAATGAAAACTCAGTCCAGACTAAAATGATGATGCCTCGAACTAGAGCTGTTTCACTTCTTTCAATTTGACTTGTGCCCCTCTGTGATACATGGGCTGTAATCTGAAACTGTTTTACAACAATGTTACAGGAAACCTGGGCTCAAATTTCATAAATTTCAGCCCATGCCGAAAACTCCATACACTTGGAAATATAGGCTATTGTCACCATACAATGGTATAGTTTTGAAGTTGTGTTAACCCATTAAGTTGCATTGTACCCTACTTTATTATTTTACTCTGTCTATAATTTTGCTCTGAGGGTTTTGCTCATCAAGGCACTCATTGGGTTATAAAACAGTCTGCTTTTATATGGAGTCAAAGAGTAATAGAGACAGCTGCAGTATGAAGCATAGACAACTACCTGAAAATATAAATAAAACATTGACGTTTTGAGGGAAAGCAAATTAGTAGCAACTATGTGAAAATTATAAACAGAACTTTCATGTTTAGGGTGATGGCCCTACTAACGTCCTGAAGATTAGGGCCTTCACTCAAAATGTCTGAGTTCTGGGGTTTTTTCAGGTAGTTATATATGCTCTACCTACACTGGCACCAATGGAGAGGTTGACAAAACTTGGACCCTCCTTTCTGGACCCCTAATCTGGATCCCATTCTGGACCCCAATCTGGACTCCATTCTTGACCTTTTAAAAACCAACAGACCAGATTGTACGACACAACACAATCATCGATTAAATTCATGTAGCTTTTTTCGACTTTCTGAATCCTCAATCCAGTTCAATGTCCTGATCATTTCAGTCAGCGGCAATCGCATCATCATAGACACCTTGAAGTCAAATGCCCGGGAGGGATGGTGATGTTTTGAATTGAATTTTGAATTATATAATCTTGTACATTAAACATTGCTGGGTAACGTAGTTATTCCAATTAGAAATACCATACTGCACTGGTTTTCTTGTTTCATGTGCTTTTGAATAGGGACAAGTACTTTCAGTAAAAATGTAAACTGCATGTTGTTTTTGTGACCTTGTAAAATACTGTGTAATGACATTGTCAATGTAGTGTTGGGTTGCTATAAATCGGCAATTTACCCCGCTGCATTTACAGCAAAAAATGTCAACAGATATTGGCTTCCAATTTATTGCGAATAAGCCATGTCTTGTGGCCGAATTATGGGTCACTGCTGAAGCCATCTCAACAAATGCGGGTTGGGGATGGACTGCTTACAGCTGAGTATGTAATGTTTTCTTTTAGTTTTTAAAAGGTCCAGAAAGGGATCCAGAATGGGGTCCAGAAGGGGGGGGGGGTCCACATTTTGTCAACCCCCCTCAAATGGGTGGTCTTCAATAGTTTCTGTGACTGTAACTTAATTGTCAATTCATTCTCGGACTCTGTATCATATTAACTGTCAGAGTCAAATAGAGTTCCAAAATCCCTGATGCCTAATTTTTCTTAACATCCCACACATTTTCCATAGATTTTTCTATTTTGCAAATTCTCGATCATGAAACCTGACATTTTCCTCATCCATTGTGTTTCTTAATTTGTTAAATTATTTCTAATACATTTCTCATGGCATCCACTATTGGTTCATTTTTAGAAACAAGTCTGAGTTGAGTTATGGCTAGTTCATCATCAGGAGCTGATTTTTTGGGGAATTGTTCACAATGCTCAAAGGTAAATTACTGACTCACAAACGGATAGATGCCCTGCATTGAACTTTTGGTCATGGTGATCACTAGAGAGAGCTATGGCAGCAAGGAACTATTCTGTTAGTCTAGCTTGCTTGACAATTTCACAATCATGTTAATTTATTTTTGTTATAATTCTACAAAATTTATGTTTTTGTAATTACCTTTCCCAATCCAAAAATGGATTTGATGTGGAAATTGGCAACCTTGAGGGCCTTCTACCCTGACCTTGCACCCTGTCCCACACATCAAGACAAGCATGACATACATTTTTGTAATTCTAAGAATCTTATTTTATTGTAGATTAATATGAAACTTGTTCACTGCCCTGCATTGGCTGGAAGGGGTCGACATTATGCAAATCTTCCTGGTTTATCAGTGCATCCACAAGTTCTATCACGACCACCAAACCAATGTTGTCCAACAACACATCAACCAGTATATCCATCTTTTCCAGTTAGATTAAACAGGTGAATAATTGTGTGATTTTATTGCTCTTAATATAAGGTTATCCAACCCAATTTAAGTTGCATTGCATGCATCCTTAGTAAATGCAGCCTACTGTATTGTTTAACTCTGTCTAACGCCAGATGATTTTATTTATGATGGGAAGAACACTGCACGTGCTCAATCACATAGGTTACTCAGACCATCAGATCTGCCCATGCATGTATGTCATTAACCCATTTCATTGCATTGAAACAAATGAAAATTGATCTTTTGGTTCCATTTTGATTGTTCCAATCAGGTTCCATTCTTTTTGTTGATGTTGTTTCCGGGATCCGAGTGTTTTTTTCTTCTTCTATTCCCTTTTATTCCGGGTTTAATAGCACGTGTCAATTAATCTGCAAGACTTTTTACTTTCCAAAATGACAAAATATATGGACTACAAAGTATTTTGTAAAAACTTTTATTAATTAATTAACATCAATATTGAGAATTTGGTAGAATTTTGTTTGTTGTAGCAGGCCTTAAAATATCGGTCGGTCACGGACATTGTCCGACCCATTCGTCAAATTGTCCGACGTAGAGAGGAAACCACCGGACATTCTGTCCGACCTAAGTGAAACTGAGATTTATTGTATGTCCGACCCGAGTGAATTGGTGTCCGACCGAAATGTAGCTTTGTCCGACGCTTTCTCCACGCACGTAAATCAAAATGCACCCTATGTAGTCCAGGATTAGAGGCTCGTATATGTTTTTATGGAGAATTATAGTATTGTACAAAAATGAACTGGAAATGTTTTTAATAATGTCACCGAGCTTGGGGCGGCGAGCAAAATGGTGAAGTGGAAAACGAAAAGTTGTCGAAGTCGTACTGCTACATTGGTAGGCAAGTTAATCTTGGCTCGGAAATAAGTATAAATGACACAAATTATTTAATATCTTCACAACATTTAGTTGAGAATTAATACATTGTGCTGATATTAATTTGCGTCATTCAGACTTATTTCCGAGCCAAACTGAACTGAAGGTCATCGGACATCATCATACATATGTCCGACCCAAACTGAAAGTCATCGGACATTTTGTCAGACGGCCCTGTAAAAGATATTTTAAGGCCTGTGTAGTGGAGTTAACTTTTAATAATGTTTTAAGGTTATTGTATGTATTACCAATAAATTATTATTTAAATGAAGCTGACAATTAGCTCAGCTATTAACTGCATATTTCATTTTTAGTGTTTGTAATTGCTCAAGATGTAGAATAACAAATGTTGACAGAAGACTAGCAATGACTCCACATATGGCTGTAAATTCTTGCTGGGTCAATCCAGTGGAAGTTCATAATACAAATCTAAACACAAACTTCATACCAAATCCATTACAAAGTCAACCTTGTTTGCCTCCGAGGCATGTTGGGATGACACCAATCGCACCGGTATGTTATAAATCAAGATGAAAAGTGTGTTTAAAACATTAAGTTCAACATGCAACCACTTTGTAAACGATATGCCGTGAAGTTGCAACATAAAATAGATCTTAATTAATGTTCAAAATTTTTGTTTTCTTCCAGATGGATGGCTTACCAATAAATGGCATGTCAGCATTATATCATCATCACCACCACTTTCACCATTATCACTATCACCATCCGACACAGTCAAGAAATAACCTTCATCCTTATGCATTACCAGTGCTTCATCCAAGAGTAAGTGGAATATTAATTATGTTGGTCAGCGCCGGCTATTACTGTACAACAGGATCCAGTGGTTCAAAAGGCCGTCCCCAAATCGACAAATTTAAATCTTCTTTACAGATCCAAGATTGCTTTACTGAGAATATAAATCCTAGCTGTGTCAGCGACAGATAATATACAATAAAGCGCAATATATTGTAAAAGACTACTTCCCTATTTTTACAAATATGACATAGGGGCACAGCTGGGAAATTTTTGCAGTCACTTGAGCCCCACTCAACCTCTCAGGGGCCCTTTGTCAAGGCCCTATCTGACCTCTTGCCTTGTTTAATTTTTCTGGTAGACAGTTATACAAACATTTATGATATTTATATGTTTCATGATAATAATGTGGAGCCCTATAAAATGCATGTCATTGTCTACCAAAATGACAAGGAATTCTGACAAATTTCATGAACTGTTTTCAGCTTCGCAGACAAGCTGGTCGTATGTCAAGGCATAATGAAGAAAATCCAGTTACTCCTAGTTTCATACCAGTTCTCACGTCAGAAGCAGGAGTTACATGGGAAAGGCGTTTGGAAACGGAACAGTTAGAGGTATATACTTTACCCATTATGATTATTCCATCCAGTTGTCTTTTTTAATGTTAATGATTAGTGCTAATGTACTCTGATATTATAGTTTTTCAACTTGCTCCACCCTTGATAGTTTTTACAGTATGCATCATTTTGCACAATACATGTTGACCATGTATGCTGACCTTAGATTAGTGCTTATATAATACGTCACATAATTTTCAAACAATGAATTATTGACCAAAAGTATTCCACATGGTCAATGCACTGTGCATTCCAGAAGTCCTCTGTATTAAAAATATGTGATGTAAACATTTATTTCTAAAGCCTATTGATGCCACTGTGCCAGTAGATGCAATGTATATTAAACTAAATTATTTTAAGTTTGTTTCCTTTGGTTATATATATTATGTTTCCAATACAGTGTTATCAAGAGAGAAAATGTGCTGTGCATTAAAAGTTAAATACTTTTATTCTTTATAGAACGTTGTTAGTCTTGTTGTCGATGAGAAACCAAAAGGAATATCAAAATGTGTTCTTGAAAACCTCGTTACGTACAGAGTCACATCAAAAGATAGACACATTGGCGAATCACGTTGTGTCATCTGTTTGATGGATTTTGAACCGAAACAACAAGTTCGAATACTACCATGCCTTCATGAATATCACAGCAAGTGTATTGATAAATGGTTAAAGGTATAATAACATTCACACCATCATTAGAATTTACCACCATTTTGCCAATATTTAGATCATCTTTACTCACATACTTTTTTCTTAAATATTTTAGAGTAACAGATCATGTCCAATATGCAGAAAGGAAATAAAAATCAGCTGAAATATATTAGCGGCGTTAAGATAGTTGTGGTTGGTTCACGTGAAGTGCATGGGTGTATGTAGCTCCTAGTGAATAATGTAGTGTTCCATGTTGGAATGGAAATATCACTGCAAGTAAAAAGTAGTGGTGTGCTTCTACACACACTTTAGACGTCTTGTTCTGTATAAAAATCTGTTAATTCATATCAAACAGTATTGATGCAGGACAAAAAAGTTGTGTATCTAATGTGGGTATCCTGGAGAAATGCCTGCGGTCGAACTAGGTTTAAGTATAAATTGACTTAAATTATGAAATAATTAGCATTATGGATAGCTGCAAGAGCGAGGCTATTTGACATGCATGTATCATTAATTACAAAACAAAGGAACTTTTCGTGAAGCTGGTGGTAATGTTATTAAACATGGTTTATTTTCATTTTTTTGTAAGAAGTACACTTAGAATGCAAGCATTCACATTACAAAAAGGTAATTTTGTAATTGTAGTTAATTACTTTTGGAAATAGGCGATTGTAATCGGGAATTTGTTACCTACTGAGGGAGGTATTAAATTGTAATAGTGTAATTAATTTCTTTTATGATGTAACGCTTTGTTGCAACATGATAGAACAAGAGTCAAGACACAAAGATGGTCTGATAGTTGTGGTATGGCAGTTTCATTTGGTCAAATGAACTTAGGGATTTGTTGTATTATTTTGTACTGGACAATATTGTATATTATTTTGTATTTGCCATGTAGAAAATCTTCACTATATTGTCTATGATATCTATATCAGCATTCATTATCGCTCATATACAAAGACTAAGCTACAATCTTTGACAATATACTTGGGACAATCTAGTTTTTACATGCATTCAGATGTATTTTACCACTCTTTTATACATCCACCCTCCCCAGCTCCCCCCCCCCCAGC